GGGAGGCGGGCGGCGCCCAGCGCGCGCACGCGGCGCCCTCTGCAGGCCTCGGGCGGGCGGCACACCGGTATTCTCCTTCCTCTTCCCGTCTCTTTCAGATCACGCTTTCGTGTCGGTGCGCTCGAAGAGTCCAGGCCTCCGACTCCCGCCCCTTCCCTCCGCTCCCAGGCCCTGCCGTGTCAGTGTCTGGGACGGGAAGACTGCCAATAAAGTTTTTCTTCTTCTCGCTCCCAGCAGGCCCGCCTCGCCCCCAAGTATCGCGAGATCTGGCGGCGCGGCTACCATGGCTGCGGCGTTGGAAGCTCCCGCGGCCTTAGCGACCGCCGAGACCGCGATGGCCGCGGAGCGTGTAGCCGCGTCCCCCGAGCCGACCCTCGGGTCTGTGCGGAACCTGAGGACCGCTCACGACATCGGCGGGCCGCGGACCCGCACGGGGGACGTGCTGCTGGCAGAGCCGGCGGACTTCGAGTCGCTGCTGCTGTCGCGGCCGGTGCTGGAGGGGCTGCGGGCCGCGGGCTTCGAGAGACCGTCGCCGGTGCAGCTCAAGGCCATCCCGCTGGGGCGTTGCGGGCTCGGTGAGGCCGGGGACCCCGGAGGGGCTGGGAATGGCTGTGTGTGTGTGGGGGGGGCGCGGCCTCGGGGAGGCGGGACCCCCGGGGAGGCCGAGATGGCGGGTTCGGTTGGCCGGGGGCCCCGCGGAGGCTGGGAGGGCGAGAAAGGGACCCGGGTGAGAGGGGTAGCCGCGGGGTGAGTGGCCCCCGACAGCCGTCCGCGCGCGCCGGGTTTGCGGGCTGGGCCCGGGGCACTGTGAATGGGGAGGATCGTTTAGACCCTGCCCCCGGCCCTGATAAACGGGAGATCCACGACGTTGATCCCGGGGGCCGGACAACCCTTGTCGGTGGTGTAGCCTCTAGCGTGTTTGAGAGTCAGCAGTGAAGGTGCCAAGGAGATGATGATCTCTGGAGACCCGGGAAGTTGTTGGGTTACCTGCGCTTTCAAGTATTGGCCAGTGATTGATTTTTTTCTTCTTCTTCTTCAGACTTAATTGTTCAAGCTAAGTCTGGCACTGGGAAAACCTGTGTATTCTCCACCATCGCTTTGGACTCTCTTATTCTTGAAAGCTACAGTACTCAGGTGAGTGTTTGCCCAGAGGACCCTTGGGGGGAAAGTGTGTTCTGTGGACTTTGCCACTGGTTAGAAGAAATATCGACAGCTCTTCAGAAGGAAGTGAATTTGCTGAATGGAGCAAAACCGTATGAACATTTAAAAAAGTAATGCATTAATAAAAATCAAATGATAAAAGTAGACATTAATGTCTTTGACTGTTGGTAATACGAAGCATGACCTAAGGACTCTATTACTAGTGTTTTAAAATTTGAATTTTCTACTTCTGCATCTTAGATGTGCGTCTACCATATGTGTCAGTTTGTAAAAACTATTAAAATAATTTAGTTTATATTAGTTATGTAATAGGGGTTGGGATTATTAGCAATCTAATTTGTAATATAATTATGTAAGGGGGATTTAATTGTTTGGGGGTTTTATTTCTTTGTTACACTTTCACACATATTCTACACTGTATTCCACCAGTCTCACTCCCGCTGTCACTCCTTGCCTTCCTTCCCACCAAAAAATTATCCCTAACAGGTTTTATGTTCCCTTTTCTTTTCTTTCTTTTTTTCTTTCCTCCTCCTCCTCCTTTCTTCTTTCTTTCTTTTTTTTTTTCGGTCTGGTCGTGGGGCCTGAACTCTGGGCCTGGGTGCTGTCCCTCAGCTCTTCAGCCCAAGGCTAGCACTCTACCACTTGAGCCACAGTGCCACTTC